GCCTGTAGTCCCAGCTACTCGGGAGAATCGCTTGAACCTGGGAGGTAGAGGTTGCAGTGAGCTGAGATCATGTCACTGCATTCCAGCCTGGCGAAAGAGCGAGACTCCATCTCAAAAAAAAAAGAAAAAAAAATCCTGCCTACTCTGAAGGCTGAAGCAGGAGGATTGCTTGAGCCCAGACGTGAGGCTGCAGTGAGCCATGATTGTACCGCTGCACTCCAGCCTGGGTGACAGAGCAAGACCCCGTCTCAAAAAAAAAAAAAGCATCTCAAATTATTTAACCAAATGGACTAAAAGCACATAATGATAATGGATAGTATAGACTGCCAGGTTTCTTTCCTTTACTTGGTGCGATTATCACCAGGAAATTTCTCTATGGGTCTCGTAATCCACAACACCTGAGTGTATCACATGAGTGAGCAGGACAATGAAGACACAGTGGAACACAATTGGACTTTCTATAGACTAACCTGGAAGGCAGGTATCTAATTTCCAAACCAGAAGTTCCTGGAAACTGAGTTCAAGGAAATAGAAGAAACTGATTTAAAAAAAACATTACACTGTGGTTGAAGTCCAGAAATTTCTAGGCGGCTGGCTGGGCACAGTGGGTCATCTGTAGTCCCAGCACTTTGGGAGGCTGAGGTGGGAGGACTGCCTGAGACCAGGAGTTTGAGACCAGAGGAAAAGAAAATGACAATGTGGAATTGTAAAAAAAAATTTTCTTTTTTTGAGACGGCGTCTCACTCTGTCGCCAGGCTGGAGTGCAGTAGTGCCATCTTGGCTCACTGCAACCTCCGCCTCCTGGGTTCAAGCGTTTCTCCTGCCTCAGCCTCCTGAGTACCTGGCACTACAGGCGCCTGCTGCCACACCTGGCTAATTTTTTAGAGACAGGGTTTCACCGTGTTAGCCAGGATGGTCCCAATCTCCTGACCTCATGATCCTCGTGTCTTGGTCTCCCAAAGTGCTGGGATTACAGGCGTGAGCCACCGCGCCTGACCAAAAACTTTTATTTATTTGAGGACCAGAGAGAAGTTTTGTGCTTTAGCAGACTCCTCCATGTTTTCTTCTTTTCGCCCTGTTCAAACTCTCCAGGTACTGTTTTTTTTTTTTCTCTTTTTGAGACAGGGTCTTTTGCTCTGTTGCCCAAGCTAGAGCGCAGTGGCATGATCACAGCTCACTGCTGCCTCAACCTCGTGACCTTAAGCATTCCTCCTGCCTCAGCCTCCCCAGTAGCTAACACTACAGGCAAATGTCACCATGCTTGGCTAATACAATTTTTTTTTTAGAGATGGGGTTTTGCTATGTTGTCCAGGCTGGTTTTAAACTCCTGGGCTCAAATGATCCTCTGTCTCAGCCTCCAAAAGTGCTGGAATTACAGTCATGTGCTACTGCAACTGAATTGCCTTTTTTTTTTTTTTTTTTTTTTTTTTAAGAGACATTCTTGCTGTGTTGCCCAGACTGGAGTGTAGTGGTGGGATCACAGCTGACTGCAGCTTCAACCTCCTGGGCTCAGGTGATCCTCCTGCCTTGGCCTCCAGAGTAAGTATGACTATAGGCTAGCCTTCAAAGCAGGTAGGACTATATACCCCACTAATCCACTAATCCAGATACCCTTTTTATTAAAAATCTGAAAATCAGGCCGGGCCCAGTGGCTCATGCCTGTAATCCCAGCACTTTGGGAGGACAAGGTGGGCAGATCATGGGGTCAGGAGTTCAAGACCAGCCTGGCCAATATGGTGAAACCCCGTCTCTACTAAAAATACAAATTAGCCAGGCATTGGGGTGTGTGCCTATAGTCCCAGCTACTCGGGAGGCTAAGGCAGAAGAATTGCTTGAACCTAGGAGGCGGAGGTTGCAGTAAGCTGAGATCGCGCCACTGCACTCCAGCTTGGGCAACAGAGCGAGACTCTGTTCCAAAAAAAAAAAAAAAAGGTCTGAAAATCATTATGGTATGTAATCTATCCTTATTATAGTGCTAAAATGATTTCTGATAAAATAGTTCCTAACTCAACTAGAACACTATGAAGAATGAAAGAATGAGCAGAGTACTCATGATGCCTTTGAGTAAAATCGAAACATACAGCGTGATCTAATTTCCAAACCAATAGGCAGTATTGTAATATTAAAGGAAAACTATTCCAATCACTTAGAAATACTTGCTAAGTACTGCTTTTTATAGTTATGACAACTGTTTTTTCTATGCATATGAATCAAGCAACCAAATATTTATAACCATGGAAATACCTGATTAGAAATATTTCTAACCTGGGCCAGGATCGGTGGCTCACGCCTATAATCCCAGCACTGTGGGAGGCCGAGGCGGGCGGATCACCTGAGGTCGGGAGTTCAAGACCAGCCTGAGCAATATGGTAAAACCCCATCTCTACTAAAA